GTAGTTCTCTTCAAACACTGGCAGTCAAACCGGATGGACAATTGGCACCTTATGCCATTTGTTTATCTCAATTTATTCATTTACTTATTGTACATTATTTCCATAATTCAAAGTTTTGGCAATGATTTTTGAAACAGTGATACTACCCTCAATAAAATTCCACCCTTAAAACGAAAATATAATCCAACATTCAATTACGTTTTCAAGGGTTTGACTTTATAAACTTCCTGTTGGCTAAAAAATATTCAAAAAATTCTTACCGTCGCAGATACAAATCTCGCTTAAATATTTTATAAAATTTATTATAATTATATTACTTAGCGAGCTAAAAAAAATTTTCAATGCTTCAATACTCAGCACAAGCTGACTTAATTTTAGATGCCAACACCAAAGAAAGAGACGCTTACACATACAAGAAAGAGCAATATCCCTTTAACCATAAATATGGAAAATTTTTTTAGAAATTAGTTTCATCATAGACCAAAATCAAATAACTAGAATGCATCAATGCACAAAAACTTAAACCCAATTTCTGAAATCTCTTTGCACCAACCTATTATTGTATTTCAAAAATGAATTATTTGCTGAAAAACTATTCTTCAGCAAACGTTTCATATCTTCAAGTAAGATTAATGTTGTCTGCAAATGGCTGACCAGCAGCTTGAAGCTAATAGGGGTGAACAAGTTCTGTAAGTTTCTTGCATTGTCCCTCCACCCCAATGCATAAAGACAAACCACAGTCTCTACCTATCTGTTGTCATAGCACTTTTAGTATAAGAAAAAAGTAAAGTTTAAAAAACAATGCCAATAAACAAGATAGAACAGAGAGCTTACATGGTTTCATTTGAATTGCAATCGCAGGCACACAATTTTTTCTGATATGTTGAAAAGGAAATAATTGTGTTGACACTTCATTGTTAACCGATAGAATTGTGGACATGAATTTTGATTTTATAAAGCAGACTCAGTATACATAAAAAAGAAGGCTGGCTGTTACATTTTATACATTAGAAGTGTATACTTCAATTTCAGCTGAAGCTATTCAAAGACCTGTAGCGAAAGTTCCTTATTGGCATAAGGGCTTCACAGTTGTTGGATTGCCACATAGAATTCCATTTTGTAAACCATGTGACTATGGAACAAAGCAGAGGGAAAATATCATGTCTGCCAGTGGGGCAGGAATCAAAGTCACCAGAATTTGGTGATCTACCAGCCATCCTAACTTGGCATATATATCAAAAGGAGGTTATGTAAACAGGTCAAGCTGTATTTACAGCACTTGTTTCACAGATACAGGAAGCGGATGCTACAAAATGGAAAATGATGGAGAAGCTAAAAACGAACCATCTGGAACTTTCCGCCGACAGCTTGCACGACCTGAATTGGGATCAGTGGAAGTTCGGTGCTTTTGCAACAAACTGCTGCCGTCCCCATTTCCACAACCAGATGGACTTTTCCGGCCAATAATGATGATGATTCTAATGAGATTGTGAGTGTTTTGTATGACAACGTTCTACCGAAGTATAGTTTTGCTTACGAGCAAAGTCAAAGAGAGTCAAAGCAAAGAAGATCGAGAAAATACTCTAAGAAAAAGACCTCACAAACGGGAAACATAGGCCTAGCACAACAAACAGAGGCAGAGGAGCCTCGTTTTTTAGAAGTAGATTGAAAGATTGAAGTATGTGGATATTTGTCTTTATTCAATCCCACTGTGTGTTTTCAAAACAGATGCTTATGTCTTAAGACCAAAATCAAATGTAGTTCAGGGATGTACAGATGGCGATTTCTGTTTAATTTCATGAAAAAGGATTCAAATATTCAAAAGCTTTTGTTTATTTTCAACATTTCCACACCTAAATCATTCATTTTAGTCGGTTAAGTCTTAAAAAGTTCAAAAAGAGAACAAAACAGAGACACAGACAAAGCTTTATTTTCTATAATTACTTGCAACTTTTTGGACTTGTCATCAATACAATGATGCTTCAATCTTTTTCTTTTTGAACTTAACATGCTAGAAGGGTTTTCTAGAATTAGCCAATGATGGAACTTTGTTCATTCGCAAATTAGCACACAGGGAAGTGCTCTTTTCTATTATATCGCAAAAAGGTTACCTCTACAATTTTTTAATGTTGTGCAGTTTAATGATACTTTGTATCCTTAATAATTAATATAAAGTATATGTTCTTTAAGTATATGGACGAGTTTATTGCACGAAGAATTTAATAGCCAAATAAAATGCAGTGGAATTGGTATTGGTGCTAAGTTATAGTTTCAGGATATTGAGTCATAGAAGATCATGCTTATTAGACTTTTGCTTTTGGTGTTATTCTGTTGTAACATGTGATATGAGCATTCATTATCAACAACTTGTTATTGCAGAAGCTGTTTTGTGACATTGAAGTTTATTATTTTCACAGAATCTTCCACCAGTGTGGATTTCCAAAGCAGTGGAGAAGAAGCAGCAGAACCAGAAGAAGATGGTAATGTTTATTTCAAATTCACTTAAAGTAGTTACTTACAATTATAATTGCATTATGAAATAAGAGAAAGGTAGAATTTGCTGCAAAAAACTTTGCAATGGACATTCTTCGAATATTAGGGAAGTAATCGCTCACTAAAGTCTCCACACTTGCCCAAATTGTCTAAGGCATACTATTGCACACCTCCCGTAAAAATAAAAATTCCCGAGAATTTCTAAGAAAATCAAACTACCTCAAAGTTTGAAGATATACTTTGAATGTCTCTAAAGCAGTGGAAAGTCAAAGTTACCAAATTAAAAGACAGTCCTCTTGGTTTCCAAGGTGTAGAATTCTTCTTGTATGGGATTTAACAACAGTGTGACAAAGTAGTTACATATCTTGGCATGAAAGGTAGCCTGATCAAACTGGATATTTTTTATGAATATCCTCAATGATATCTGCTACCATAGCAAATATGGAAGTCATTAACATTCGAGGGCCTAGATGGCTAGAGGTGCTTAATTCCCCTTTCACATCTTTCTTATGCCAGCAAGTTTTTACAATTTTTTCATAGTTTTTTCTGTGAAATTAAATATAACCAATGTCACCACACAGATTTTCTTTGTCTTTGACTCATGCACCACAGAATAATACTTAGAGCACCTAATTCATTTGTGACTAGGTACCAGTTTAATTTATCTTAGGACCCTAATAATACACAGTTAAAGGGTTTAATTTGGACAAAAGTGTTTACTTTATTTAAGAAAAAAGGCACCTCCCACACAAATTTCGAAACGCATCTTGGCCTTTTGTGACAATTCATCAACTTTAGAATTTTCCAATTCAGATATCTTCAAGAGGTTGCAAAACAACTCTTTGATAAGATCCTGGGAATCTTTTAACCAATCAAATTAATCAGTCATTATATAAAAAAGCAAAACAATTTTCCAGTCAATTTCCTTGGTTTCTGTCATTTATCAACGCCACAAGTCTTTCAAGTAAAAGCAGCTCTTTATATTTCTTGATAACAGGATTAAAAACGAATGATGAAAAAGTCGTTCATTTGCTGGCTCATGTCATTGTACAGGCAAAGTAATCAAGACATATGAAGCTTCCCACAACGCCTATTTACATATTATAAATATTTCATGTCATATTACATTATATTTTTAAGTATTTAGAGGTGTTGCGGAATACACTTAGATAAACTATAGATAAGTGCTTTTCACACCAAGTGCCCTATGCTGTGTGTAATGAAAAGTAATATATATCAAAGAAAAGCTGATAAGCTAACAAGTTAAAAATGACAACTTCAAATTTTTTTATAGAAATTAAAATAAAAAATTATACAGAATTTATGAACACATTTCAGGAAATCCAGCAGCTCAGCAGGGAGAGCCAGACACTATGCAACAAGTAAGCAAAATTATTTAACTAAAGTTGTGGAAACATAAAGACTTCATAATGAGTATTTTGATTTTTCATAATAGATATTCTGTTCTTTGTATTCTCTTATCTCTTTGTAAAGCATTTCAATTATATTCTGTGAAAGTTTAGATATCTTTTAAATATATTAAAATTTTAATAAAATTCTAATTATATTTTTCAAAAGCACTTTATTCATGCTTAAGTTTACATGTTTTCTCATTACTTTCTTACTGAATTTTGGAATGACTTTATTCGACGCTCCAATTTCTTAAAACATCAATATTATCTTGAAATCGGCTGTTATCTTAGATTTTCACACTCTTCACTGACTTTCTAGGATTACCCTTTAATTGTGGAAATTTTGTGCACAAAGGATTACTTTGTTTGCATGGAGCAGCATAGAGGCAATTTTGGAGTTGTTGATGTCGATCAAACTGGCTTCTTATGTTTAAGTTGTGGGCATGGACATCACTCTTGCGATCATGTTGAAAACAATTAAGCGATTGCTGGAAAATCGGCAGCTAATGGTTCCAGATTTTCTACTGGAATTGGTACGAAAGCATGAAGCTCTACAGATGCAACACTCGAGAGGTTATGTTCGCAAGGCAGTCTCAGAACATTCACCCCTTTCGTTGCAAGTGTCAATTTTTAATGGCTAACTGCAAACAGTTTTAGATGACAGTGGAAGACTCCTTCCTGCCTCTCATACTGACAGCTGTTCATCTTGCTCGACACCGTTTGGTGAAACTTGGCAGATTATACTAAGCATTTAGTAAAAATGAAAGTTATCAAGTCTGTCTCAGGTAAGTTTTTTGTTGTAACCAATGTTATTTCCTCTCTAGATGTCACATTTCCACAGGTACGTTGGATTACTTTGTTGATATGGGTAATTTATGTCTATTTGACAAACCTTTTAACCCCATTGATTACAAACAAGTTGTTTGGATTTGTAGTGCTCTTTATGGTAGATTTAATGATTTGATGCACTAAATTTCTATGTTTTGTAC